CATCCTCTCTAAGCTCTCCCCTTTGTTGGCACAGGACTGTCTGCAGTAGTCTCCTATAGCCATTTTTTTCCTGTGGCGTTGGTTTTAATGTCTCCTCCTTCATTTCTGATTTTCTTAAGTCTTCACAGACCTATAACTAATACTGAAATTGAATCAGTAATCAACCCCCCCCCAACAAATAGAAGTCCACGACTAGACAGCTTCACTGGTGAACTCTACCAAACATTAAGGGAAGAATTGGTGCCAGTCCTTCTCAAACTCTTCCAGAAAATTTAAGAGGAGACACTTCTAAACTTATTCTATGAGGATAGCATTATCCTGACTCCAAAGCCAGACACAGATACTACAGGAAAACTACAGCCCAATGTCCCTTATGAAAACAGATATAAAAGTCTTCAACAAAACAACAGCAAACCAAATCCAACAGCACATTAAAACAAACATACACTGTGACCAAGTGGTATTTTCCCCCTGAATACAAGGATGGTTCAACAAACAAGTCAACTCATGTGATTCATCTGCATTAGCAGAATAAAGCATAAAATTCACACGATCATGTCAACAGACAAAAGATGTCTGACAAAACTCAACACTCTTTCATGCTTAAAAACAACAACAAATGAAGCTCTCAACTACAAATAGAAAGTACCTCAACATAAAAAGATCATGTCTGAAAAGCCCACAGCTAACATCACACTCAGCAGTAAAAATACAAAACAAGACACGGATGCCTTTTACTTTCACTCCTTTCGTTCAGCACAGTACCGGAAGTCCTAACCAGAGCACTTAACCACAAAAAAGTAAAACACATCCAAACTGGAAAGGAAGAGAGAAAACCATGCCTGTCTGCAGATGACATGATCTTATATATCAAAAACTCTATAAAGATTACCCCCAAAACAAGCCAAAATAAATAAATACACTGTTAAAACTAATGAATGTAATAATAAAAGTCGCAGGATATAAAATCAACATACAAAAGTCAGTCGTGTCTATACACTAATGACAAACAACCTCAAAAGGAAATTAGGAAAACGATCCCGTTTACTTCAAAAAGATAAAATACTTAGGAATAAAGGGAGTGGAAAACTTGTATAAACTCCAACAACACTGGTAAAAGAAATCAAAGACACAAATGGAAAGGCATCCCATGTTCATGGATCGGAAGAAGTATTACTAATATGCCCACAGCACCCACAACCATCTATAGAGCCAATGTGACCCCCATCAGAGTCCCAGTGCCATTCTTTGCAGAACCAGAAAAACAATTCTAAAACTCACAGAGAACCACAGACGACTAAAACTAGCCCACCAATCATGAAAGCAAAGAATAAAGCTGAAGATCACACTTCCTGATTTCAAAATAGATTTTGTAGCCACAGGAATCCAAAAGGTACGGTACCAGCATAGAGACAGAGACCAATGGAACAGAACGGAGAGCCCAGAAATAAGCCCGGGCATCTGTGGCCAACTGAGCTTCGACAGAGGGTACCAGAAACACGGAGGGGAGAGGACAGTCTCTTCAACAAATGAGTTGGGAAAATGGGAGATCTTCATGCAGGAGAATGAAAATGGACCCCTGACCTTCCCTCATACACAAACGTCAACTCAAACAGGAGACCCAAAACTGTAAAACTCCCCCCAGAACACACAGGGCTTGAAGACTTTGGTCCACATAGGTCCACACAGACACCTGCACGTGGATGTTTCCAGCACTGGGCGGCCAGCGAGACGCTCTTGAGCAGCCGGATCACCCGCACCTGCAGTCAGATATTAGTGCTAAAGAGAAAGCCATCAAGCCAGGGAGAGACAGGACACTCACATACTTGTCCCTGAGCGACCAAAGCCCACGTGAGAAGTCCACATACAGTGAGATTCTGACCAGATGACCTCCTTTCTGAGGGATGAAACTACAAAGACCGTGAAAAGACGAGTGGATGCCCGGCAGGGTGGAGGGGAAGGAGGGACGAGGTGGAGCCGTGGCTTTTTCCAGGTAGTGGAGACACCGTGTACGTGGACACCCATCACTATACATTGTTCCAAACCCACTGAAGTAACTAAGAGCGAACCCTAATGTAAACTGTGGCCTTTGGGTCATGTGTCACTGTGGGCTCATCAGCTGGGGTGGCGGTACCCTCTGGGGGGGGGATGCTGATGGGGGGAATATGGGGCATATGGAAGCCCACTGAACCATCCCCTCAGTTTTGCTGGGAATCTGAAACCTCTTTTTAAAAAACGCTGTGTGTGTGTTTCTTTAAGAAAGAAAATAAGGACAAAGGAACTATAAAAAGCCCTTGGACACTATCATAACCTAAATAAAATAATTCTGCTAGAAGACAAAATTAAGAGTATTTTTCAGAAACAAAGCATAGACAGTAAGAAAATCAGAGGACCAGTCTAGGCAGGGCAACATTCAATTTGTAAGAGTTAGAAGAAACAAGAAAATGGAGAGGATGGGTTCCCGAAGGCGGGAGACAGGTCATCTGCCAGGACCAAGAGGACATGTCTGGGATGGGAAGGTGCACGTGCACAAGGCCAACCGCGGGGACGTCCGAGGACCATACAGGCTTCCTGTGGTCGGAAACACACGCACAGACTCGTGAAGACACACGGGAACCCGGGGGCACACACCCTCTCGGCGGCTGTGCTGGGGGAAATGACGATATGGCGTTTCCAGCAGGAGGACTGAAGAGACCACAATTAGAACCTGTGATCTGGTCATACTGTCCATCAGCCGAGGTGAAGGTAGAATATAAGTATTTTCCAACCGGCTACTGTGTTGGAAACCTTGACCAACAACACCCCTTCTCGAGGAAGCAGCAGCTGCAGGACCCAGATGTGGAACCCAGGAAAGGGGAGGCTCGAACACACGTGCTTCAGGATGACAGCTACGTGACACAGCTGGAGAAGCTGGGCTCTGGGAGCAGGAATGGGTCGGGGAGGCCTGGCAGAACCTCCCTGAGACCAGAGAGGCTTGCGGGGTGGGAGAGGAAGGCCTAGTAATGGGGACCAGCGCATGCACTGCACTTCTCTCTCTAAGGAAAGCAAAGACCCTACTTGGCTGAGCAGTTTTTTATGCAGCCAACATGAACTCTACAAGCAAGATGTGGGGCTGCGAATACGCTGGGGGAGTGGGTTGGGGGAGGGGGCGGGCGGGAATCCCGGGAAACCATGTGTTCCTGGGCCTGCAGATTTCCCGGTCTTTCCCAGCAGGCCTGGCAGCCGAGCTGTGCTTCCCTTGGATCAAAAGCAAATCCAGTCACAGACGGACATCACCTTATCGTCCCTTCCTGTCTTCAGGCTGTCTTTGCTTCCATTATCAGCTGATAAGAAGCCCTGTGGTTTTAAATCTGGTGCCCGGTCAGGGCTGTAGGGAGCTCACCCTTTCCCCAAGAGCAGCGGCATGCCGCTCGGAACCGCCGTGGGTGTGGCGGGCACGCCGCTCTTCATGGGCTTTTTCCGGGCCACCTTATGGGATGTTTTCTCTGCTTCGGCAGCCCACCAAGTTCGCATACACACAGACCGAAGTCGGCCACCTTCGTATGTGGGTACCACTTCCGTTATCCGTCTTAACGCCAACGTCCTACTTATGCGCAGTCTACCCGCACACCCCAACGCGAAATACAGGGGATCTGGCAGCAAAACCCTGCACCGAGAGCCGCCACCGGCCTGGCTGCCAGGCTCAGGGCTGTGTCTCCGTGCTCCGGTGTATCCAGAACGCCAGCAGGGGCCTCGCGGAACAGCATCCGGGCAGCGTCCCTGCCGGTGGGCACCGCGGTCACGAACGTAGCTGCCCGTCCTCCCGCCGTGGCGGTCGGAGCACCGGCAGGCTGGCCCTCCTCACGGCCCTTTGGCTCCCTCGGGCACAAACACATGTGGTGAATGAAGTTGTAGGTGCCCGAGATTCTGGATCCAAGAAAGAGATTTTTTTTTTAAATTGGTTTTATTTCAAAGTGCACTAAAGAAATGACAGGAATGCTTCGAACCAAGTCAAGTCGGGTGACACGCACCAACTTGGAGCAGACAGTAAATGTGGGCCGGGCACAGTCTGGGAGGGCAGTGCCCGCCGGCCACGCCACTCGTCACAGCACAGGGGCATTTGGGGCTCTGGGACAGTGGCGGCCAGGCTGCTGGTGCTGCTGGTCAGTGGACTCGCGCCACTTGCCCAGCTGTGTGGAGCCATCACCAGCGACTCTGTTTCATAGAAAAGCGACGCTGAAGAGCTGGAAGTCGACACTGGATTTGCACACCTGCAAGTCTCACGGGTTCAACCACTTCGACCATGTTTTTATTGATAAACAGGTGTACATGTTAAAAGCCTCACACTGAAGCTGGACACACACGTCCACCCCAGACAACAGATGTGCAAATGAACACGCAACACGACCTCTGGACGCGTGTCGTGTCTGGCCCCCTCGGGCCCGTCCCTCTGGCGGGGACACGGCCCCTCCCCCACGGCTCACATGTGTGTGCAGACTCGGTCCATTGCCGAGACGTCCCCCAGCTTTGCTCGCCTGGCGACAGCTGTGTCTCAGGTAGGGCCCCCTGTGGATCCGCGTCAGCAGCGGCAGAAGCCCTGATTAGGATAGGATACGGATTAATTCCAAACAGAAACGGAACAGTTCACAGATGAACGGAAAGGCGTCCGAGCCAGGAACGAAACACCAACTCTTCTCGGCCCGCAGGCAGGGCTGTAGGAGCGCCCTGGACCGCGTCCCGGCTCGCGTCCTCGCAGGTCCCGCAGAACAGCCGCAGGCCAGGCAAGTTTAAGGCGAGTCCCCAGGGAGGGGAGCTGTTTGCTTTCTGACAGCATTTTCAGCTCTGCACTGAAGGGCCTGTCTGATCGCTCACGACTTGGGGAGAGAAACAAACATAAATGATACAAAACATAAAGCTGTTGCCATCCTGAATACTCTGGGACAGTGAGTGAGGCTCAGAGTCCGGGGCTCTGCCTTGGGTCCCCTCACGTGCTCAGGGAGGCCCAGAGGGCCCCCCCCCCCCCCGCCCCGGCTCGCTATGTGAGTCCCCGTGGCCGGGCCCGCCCTCCTCCACACCCAGACCGACATCTGGCAGCACAAAGGGTGAGGCCGGCACGAGCCTTAACTGTTCCCTTAACTGAGGTGCCGTCCGTACTCTGCTGACGTGGCTGGAACAAAACCACGGCAGCTCCAAGGCCCTCACGCACCCAAGATCTTCAAAATAAAGTTAAAGCAGGCAGGCAACGAAGGACCACACACGAGTGATTGTTCTTTGGATCAAGATATTCTCCAAAATGCAATACATTCATAGTAATGCCCGCGGGACAAGGGTCCCGTGGCAGCTCTCTCCTCTTCCCTGAAACGTCGGCTTCTAAAAAACAGCCTGTTGGCTGTACGCGGCTATTACCGGTCACGTCCCCTAGAAAACACGGCCAATGCTGAAGCGCACACGCATAGACACACACGCGCACATGCGCACACACACAGACACACACGCACAGACTTGCCGAAAGGGTCCAAGCACGCGCTTCCAGGGCAGTGCGAGCGAACCTGAAGCCACTGCTGCGGTCTTCTGCGTATTCAGTGCAAAGTGTCGGAGCTCACTGAGATCACAATGTGTCTCCGTGCAAGCGCCCCTCCTTGCTCGAGCGAGGGCACTGATGAAGCCCCGGGTCGACACAAACGCCCTGAAACCGTTAGCTGGAGAAATCTCACTCACTGGATTGACTTTTGTTTTTTCTTCATGATTGAAAAAAGCAGCTTAGTACACAGGACTTCAATCACCATGGAACAGCCCATGCGACTTCTCAGAAAATGCCAAGTGTTCTTAACAAAAACCCTAACCGTGAGGAAGATAATGACATTTGGCTTCTTCACGTGGCCACGTACCTCTCGTTAGTCGTACAGGCAAAAACTGGCCAGAGCGTCACCCCGTCACTGGTCTGGAAAAATGTGGTCTGTGACTATAAATCTAGAAAACTCTGCTTGCCACAAGCAGCCGGTCTGTGTAGGTTCCGTCTGCCCTAATGGTCACAGGTGAGCTGCTCATACCCTTTCAGACCCCAAATAAATAACTTAAGTCTGGTGACAAGTCCTGGCACGATGAGGCCTCAGACCGAGAACTCTGGGCCCCCTTTCCTGGGTCTGGTCTGCAGCCGCCCAAACCGGAAGCCAACAAAGGGGTTCATCCAGAGGAGTGAGGGGGGCCCCCCGAAGACAGACCGCATCCCCTCCCATCGCAGCCTTCGCTCCCACGTCGGCTTCTCGCTCTTCAGCCTCTCGATCTCCTGGAAGCAGAGAGGATCGCAGGTGGGCAGCAGGCCCCCCAGAATGCCCACCACGCGCAGGCCAGGCCCCGTGCTCTCCGCAGAGGAGTCAGACCCAGAGTCTGAAATCCGGTTCCACGTGACAGCTCTGGCGACGTGTGGGCCCCAGTGGTCAGCAGAACAGACCCTCCTTGCTGTGCCAGCCCCATGGCCGGCCAGTGCCCCCCACCAAGCCCTGCCCCACACACAGCCCAGCAGCTACGGTGGTGGCAGGAAGGAGCCAGTCCTCAGGGTCAGGCCACTGGCCTTTTTTCATTTGTTACACGTATTTATCAAGTGCCTGCTCTAGATATACGGTTCAAAGACATGAAGGCAATTTGTTGACGCACCTCACGGGGCTGCTCTGGGGGGCTGGGTCTCCTAGAACCCGGGAATCGGCCTGGCTCTACCTGCCTGGGTCCGCTGACTCTCTAACCAAACGGATCCTTGCGTTTGCGCCACGCATAAAGGCAGGACAGACACAGAGGAGCAGTCCTAGCAATCTCCCGAGTTAGCATGCCCACACCTGCCGGTGACCCTGACCCTGGGACTGCCCACGTACTCAAGCCAAGTAACGTGAAGCAGGCGTGGCGGTGAAGGAAGCGTACCGTTTCGTCGTTGCATATGGAGTGGATCTGGGTGCCGAACATGACTGCAGTGAAAGTGAAAAACAGAAGACTCTCAAGGCACAGGAAGACCAACAGGATTACAGTCACGGGGGGTGAGAAGTCACTGCACTCTGCAGACAGAGAGGGCGGGCTGTGAGTGTGCCCCAGCGCATCACCAACACCCAGAGCGCAGGCGAGCGTGGTGCTCGGCTCACAGAAGGATCCTCGTGGAGCCAGCCCCGGAGCCGGCCCCAGCGACCGCCGTGCTTGCCTGTCGACGGGCACCTTCGCTGCGCACCATGGGGCGGAGGTGGTCAGCTCTTCCGGGCCCAAACCCACCCCACCAGCTGTGGGGCAGCGCTTCCATCTCACCCGAGGCTTGTGTGAGAGCTGAACCTGTGCGCGGACCTTCTGGGGAGGTGAGGAGAGAGGACAGCCCTGCGTCCCCGCCCTGCGTGGCCACTCGCACGGGCCCCCAGGGGGTGCGTCTGGCCGACCCACCGTCCCCTCCAGGGAGGCGTGATCACTGCCCGCTTTAGCGCAACTGCCGCAGCTCGCTCCCGGCCAGGAAGGCAAGGACCACACTGAATTCCCAGCTAGCCAGCCGGAAAACAAACACGAGCTCTGGCAGAATGACACTCATTTCCAGGTCGTCTCAGACTCGGCACAACTATCTCGCAGGAACTATGACATGGCTAAGGAAGGACTGTGTGTCTGTGGCTTTGATACACGAGTGAAACAGACTTGAAACCCATATTTGTCACTAAAAGGATTTAGGAACGGACTGGCACATCGGTTCTCTTGGCTCTTCCCATTTTGCCCAACAGCACGCGCTTGCGGGAAGGGGACACAGGGCGTGACTCACCAGTCCACTGCCCTCGGACACAGGAGACGAACTGGAGCCCACAGAGGATGAGAGCGTGTACGGAGGACAGAGCTATGTACATCTGGAACGAGAGAAGCCCATCAGCAACCGGGGAGCAGCCACAGGTTTCTAGGAGCAAAGGCCACATTGGCTGTCCACCGTCCCGCTTTGTTCCTCAGGAAATGAACAAGGGGGGACCCCATCAGGGCAGCGGGCAGTGGCCGCCCAAGGTCACTCTACACCGAGGTGCCACCTCCCCGAACCCGCAGCAGGGAAGGGAGTCCCAGCGCGTCTCGGCAAACCCTGTGAGCAACTGGGACTGACGGTGCTGGAGAGACGGAAACCACATCTCTGACCTAAATCCCCTACGAGTCACACAGGCGGCAGGCGCCTGCGGCCAAGGACAGCGTGGCATCGCGGTCTCGTCCCGGAGAGGAGCTTAGAGAAGCTGGTCTGCCGTGAGAACAGATTCCCCTGCTGCGGGCCAGGTTCCGATTAGAGAAGGGAGCACTCCATGAGTCCCCCGTGACCGCGCTTCACTCACCGTGAAGAGCACAAAAAACCTCTGATTCTTTTCTCCTACACAGTTGTTCACCCACGGGCAGTGATGGTCCATCTTCCGGATGCATCTTTTGCAAATACTGAAAAGGAGAAATGGGTTTTCAGTGTGCCACACTGAGAACACACAACCCCGGTCCCACATGCGATACACACAATTCGGCGCTGGCGAGAGGCCGAGGGTCTCCTGCTCTGGGGCGGGGCTGCGGTCCCCGCAGCGGGGGCGCCCGGGCTCTCCGGGAGGGCCGCGTACCTGCAGTGGTGGGCGCGCTCGGGCTTGATGCAGCAGCACTTGGGGCACTTGTAGATGACCTCCCCCGGCTTCAGCTGCAAGCTCTCCATGTACTCTTTCGTCGCGTTTCCTCTGGGTACTGCCCCCTGCAGTTTAGGGAGGATGTTTTGGTGGGAGAGAAGGAAAGATCAGCACTCAGCACGTGCAGCGGTTCGGATCTGACAGCTGCGCCGAAATCCACAGCGCTGGGGCTGCCACTCCAGCTACGCTCGTGTGAAAACAAGGGGTGCTTGGGTGGCTCCACGGGTGAGGGGACGACTCCTGATCTCAGCTCAGGTCTTGATCACAGGGTCGTGAGTTCAAGCCCCACCACGGCTCCCACTGGGCATGGAGCCTACTTAGAAACCAAAAGACAAAAATGAGAAGTGACTGTATAACTCAGACATGATCAGGAGTTTTACTTTCCAAGAAAAGTAGCACATGTGTTAAAACGAACTCAAAATGCTTTATCCTTCTTAAGCTGGTAAGTCACCTGAGTTCTTTCTCGCTTCACGCCGGGACACACCAGAGGTGAGGTCTGTCGAGTCATTCCAGCTCAAGGGCGGCTCATTGTCCCCAAAGGGCGGAATGTTCTGTGGACACCACTCCCGAGTCACCCCATTCTCCGGGCGGGGCTTCATGATAAGAGTGTCCCACAGAGCTTTCCTATCAGCTACACAGGGCAGCGCTGAACACAACCGTGATAAGGAGAGGGACTTTATCTCGTGTTTGCAGAGTCGTGCAGTGCACCTGCGCCGGAGGCCTCATCAGGAGGGCTCACACACACACCTGGGAAGTGTGGCCCTGAGCTCCTGACCCGACCCGCGGTGGGTGGGGAGGGCCCTGGGCGGAGCGGTGCCCAGGTGGCAGCAGTGCTTTTGCCGGTGTCCCACACGCTGGCCGAGGCAGCGCGCTGGCAGCCAGAAGCGGGCAGGGACGGCCTTGTTCTTTGGGCAGTGGAGATGCTCAGTGAACAACACGTGTGGGACGGGACCCCAGGAGCCATGCGGGGTGCACTGAGGACGGGAACCCACAAGAGTGCAGGAGGTTCTGCCCGCAGCAGGCGGGAACAAGGTCTCCTCTCCTGTTGGTTAGTGCTGCGGAGCCTGCACTTGGAGCAGAAATGCGCTTTGGGAAGAGCAGGCCAGGGCTGTGACGGGAGCGCGAGCCAGGGAAGATGCAAGGCGGGTGTGAGCAGCAGTGGGGCCGGCAAGGGACTCCTCCCAGCCCGGATGCTCAGGCGGGTGCCAGGCCCAAAGATCTGAACCCTGGTGGGATGGGGGCCAGCATCCACGCTTGACAAGGCACAGTAGTGATTGTGCTGGGCCAAGAGACTGAGGACTGCTGGCTCCAGGCCCCCAGCAAGCCAGACCTAGAGCCCCTGCGCCAGCGAGAGAGGCAAGGCCTCCAGGAGGCGTCCCGCCAGCTGAGGACAGGAGGGGCGGCTTCCTGCCCACCTTCTACCACAGTGCGTTTCCCTCCGCGCAGCCGCTGGTCCCCTCACTGTCCTAACACGGGGAAGCTATTCTGGTCCTAGCGTTTCCTAACACTCTAATTGTCTTCTTAAACAAGATTAAAAAGTGAAGGGTTTAAGATGTTTTGGCTCTGAAAACAAACCAGAACGTCAGGCACCACATTTTATGACGTAACCTACATACCACAATGTGGGGTCTTTCATCAAGTTTCCTCCACTGGTCCAGGAGTCTTAAAGATACAGTGATTCTGGAAATCCCGTGACATCGTGCACACTCCTGGTGACAGCTCAGCGCTCTATGTTTCCGTGATAGGGAACGCACCAGATTTTCAAACTCCGCACACCTTCATTTTCATGCCTTCTTCTGCAGTAAACGTGTGATCCGCTGCAACACGCCTGCGTAAAGCAGCACGGCCCCGTAAGTGCCTGTCTTTCCAAGGTCCGTCTCCTTAGGCGAGGGCAGGTGGCGCCGCTGCTGGGGGCCGCCACGCGCTGCTTTGGGCATCTTCTGGAGCCTGCTGGAGAGCTTCTGGGCCGCTGCTCAGAACCTGGGCAGACGGCACAGCTGATCAGGGCTTCCGGGCCACCCAGCTGACGCCCAGCAGCTGGGGACCCACCCTCAGATTCTGGGTCTCTCGCTGTGCCTTCACAGAGCAGACGACAAGCTGAAGGCTGGAGACGCGGTGCTCAGTCTTGTGTTCCTACTTTGGCCATTACCCGTCAGGGGCGCTTCTTCGGAGACCCATCTGCGAGCCTCGCAGCGGCTCCCCGGGCCACAGCCACGCCTTCGGGCACCCCGCAACCCCGAGCAGCTTTCAGCTCTACTGCTGCTCTCCCAGCGTCCGGTCCCTGCGCCACCCACACACAGCTCTCTGCCACTCCGGGGGGGAGCCAGATGCCTGCCCTCGGGGACACGGCTTCCAGCCGCAGCCTGTGGCCAGGGAGGTGACGCTGTGCAATGTACTTCTTTTTCTTTTCCCTCGTATCTTCCCATCTTGTCTCCCCTGCTTCCTGTCATGCATTCTGGATCCCCAGGACCTACACAAGGGCCAGCTGAGAACTGGGCTTCCCCGAGACCTACAGACGCATTTACGACTGCCCAGGGGACAGGCCGCGTGTGGAAACGGGCATGGGGTGTAAGCTGCAAACTCCAGAGCGCGACAAAAGCCCTGGGACAGAAGGCCCGTGTTTCTTCTACTAAAAAATCCCAAGAGACACAGAGACTGAGAGGCGTAAGACACAGGTCACCCAGCATCCGAGTGCAGGCCTTACCGGAGGCCTGCTTCTGCCGAGGACTGGGTGGACCGAGACCCTGAGGCCGCCGGCACACGGGCACACAGACAGAGGGGTCGCCCCGCCGTCCGCGGGAGCCGCCGCGCAGTAGAAGAGCCCCTCCTCTCACAACGTCCATGCCGAGGTTTACAAAGCAAGCTTTACTGCGTCTGCGATTTACCTCCAAGTGCTCTGGAGAGGGGAAGAGAGGGAGCAGGGAGGGTACCGCTGACGTGAGACTGGCCGGGACAGGCCGGCAAGGCTCCGGCTCCACTTCTGGGTGCTGCAAACGGTCTGCAGGAAGTGAACAGAAAGACGGACTCTGGTGACAGGAGAAGCTTGTTCAAGCCTCGCTTTGTTCCCTGTTCAGCTGAAGGGTCTTGTTTTCTGGTGCGGACTGACCACCACCTCTGCGAGCTGGTGGGCTGCCAGAGGGATGCCCTCCATCGGGTGCCTGGGACAGGACCGCAGGCGCCACAAGGGCTCGGTCACCGCCAGGCGCTAGGCCAACTCCTGCTGAGAAGGTGGACATTCGTGAACACAGAGCGGGGTCTGGGACAGTGGGCTCTGGGTGGTGGGTGGTCTCTCTCAGTTTTTAGTCCTCAGCGTGTTCCTGAATGTTAAGATCGGTGACTGTCTCACCCTCTGATGGGAAGACTGCCCCCTCTCAAGGACACCGCTTCCTTCCTGTTCCTCAGAGCCAGTGCCTGTTCTCAGGAACGATGTGACCCGAAGCCAGTGCCGGCACAGGCTAACTGGTCCTGCTGCCTCGTAAACTGTGAGGTCCCAGTGGGGTCTGTGCCCTGCCGTCGTGCGGCAGCTCGGTTCCAATGCAGCCGAGACTGGACCCCGGGACGGTGAAGTTGTGACCCGCAAAGACAGCAGACTCCCTGTGCTGAGGGACAAAGGACGGATGCGTGACTCCGCGGGGCCATGCCCTCTCCCATCAGCCATGGGGATTTGGCCCCTAAGGATTCCAATCCGCTCTGGTCTGCGGGGCTCCCCTTCCTCACCAGACAACAAGGAGAGACAGACACCCGAAGGACAGAGACGTGCGAGGAGCCTGACCCGCTCTCCTGCTGGTCTGCCCTGACAAGAGCCTCCACGACCCAGTTCCAAGGCCTGTCGGGAGCCAGGCGTGTCCTTGTCCTTGGGCTCCTCAGGCTGCCCTGGACGTCCCCGGTTTTATGTACATTGACTCCAGCAGTGTCTGCAGCCTCCAGCAGCGTCCGGACACGAAACAGCGACTTCAAAGGGACAAAGGACTTGAAGGGACAGTTGTCCAAAGAAGACACACAAATGGCCAGTAAGCTCATGAACGACGCTCAGCATCCTCAGTCACTGGGGAGACGCAGACGGAAACCACAGCGCGACTCGGCTTCACGCCTGGCAGAGCTGCGGTCGTCCGCAAGACGGACCAGGGCCTGAGGCTGTGGACGAGCTGCAGCCCTCACGCCGCTGCTGGGCACGTGCTCTCCGGTGCGGGGAACAGTCCAGAAGTTCTCCCAGCGTTGAACGTAGAGTTCGCCCGGGATCCAGCAGTTCCACTGCGAGGCATCTCCCGGAGGGACACGAGACGCACCTCCGGAACACCCGCGGGGGAACGTGCACAGCAGCGTCCTCCGTAAGAGCCGGACAGTGCAAGCACCCCAGCGTCCCTCGGCGGATCATGCCAGGAAATGAAACGTGGCGTATCCAGACCACGGACGTCCTTCTGCCGTAAAAAGCAACACAGTTCCGACATGGCTACGAGGCGGACGGTCCAGGCAGGCAGAGCCCCTCTGACAGGGTTCCGTGCGGATGATGTGTCCAGCACAGGCCCGTCCGCAGATGCAAAGCGAGCTGGCAGGTGTCAAGGGCTTGGGGGGAGAGGGGCCCGGGCGGTACAGCTAAGGGGCGCAGGGCTTCTCCTCTGGGTGATGAAAATGTCCTAAAACTGACTGCGGTGGTGGATGCACAAGTCGGAATACGTAACACCCACTTAACCGTGCATTTTAAAAGCCTAAGTTTTGTGCTGTGTGAATTGTCTGAATTCCAACGCTGATATCCAGGACCCCAAACTTCTCCTTGACCTTGGATCTCCCTCCCTCCCACCGCTTCGCCCAGCGTTCTCTGTAGTGACCTGGCAAGGAGAATCAGCGTGCCCACAAGGGAGAGGGGCAGCGTTGCGCACACGCCTTCCCCCCACCACGCAGCATGCCCAGCTCTGGGGCCCTCCGCGAAGAGTGAGACCTTCTCCCACAGGAGTAGGCAGGTTGGGACAGGAGCAGCACTGCGGGTGTTAGGAGCAAGGTTTCGCTCCTGGAGAGAGGCTTTGCTGCGTGAAAGGGAGGAGAGGGCCCCAGAGAAGTCTGTGAGGGGACATCAGACGGGGCTGTGGCCAGAGATGACACAATCTTTGTGAGGTGAGTCTGGAGCCATCAGCAGACCTTGCATCCGAGTCTGTCCCATGGCGCTGCTCCCCGCTGCTCACCGGCCGGGTCTGTGACACTGTCCTCTGCCCAAGAGTCCCCCTCAGCAAGGGACTAAGTGAACAGTGTAGGAAGAGCCCCTGGGGTGCGAACTCAGCACAAGTCAGATAAATGCGCACGTAACCACACAGGGTGGGCCGATCGGTATCAGTTCACCCTCAGACGGATTCCTAATATGATTTATAAAACAATCTGTACCAACAAGATATTAACTTCTCAGTATTTTCTGCAGAGAACGCTACCAACAGACATGAACCGGGTAGATGCTAATTCACCCGTCAGGAGCCCCTGTGCCAGTAGCTGGAAACTGTGGTTTTACTGTCGTGGGAAGCAGCTTTTCTCTAACACCGCTCCACAGGGACCACTGGGTGGTACTGCCCGTCGCATGGCCCCGCTGATGGTGGGCACCTCTCCCTGGGGCCCTCGGCACCTCCTCTGGGCTCTGCGGTAAGCCTGGAACCCAGCGTCTGGGGGTGACTCGTGGCTGAGCTGCCAGGGTCCGTACCGCTTTGCCTACCCCGAGAAGTCTCAAACCTCAGAGAAAGAGCCTGAAGCCCGACACAGAGCTTCTGAATCTAGTGGCCTTCAAGACCTCAGGGACCAAGGGCAGCTCATGGTGTTAGGTCTGCCCTCTTGACTCTTAGGGAAACTGCTCCCAAAGGACCCCACCTGGTCTCAGACTCGAGATGACAGAGAACGATCAGAGAATTGTAGAGCTGCAGGGAACTCAAGATTAGTTACGTGGTAAAATCCAGAACCCACATCTCTGGCCGTGAGTCTTTTCTTTAGAGGAACACAGTATCTGAACTGGGAGGAATTTATGAATCTTCTAGTTACCATCTGTCCATCCGTACAAACTGCCCAACGGGATATTTTCCATTCGTGCACTGTGACATCATTTGTGTCTGAGCAATGTTTATTCCCCAGTTAAGACATGAAAAACGTGGGGCGCCTGCGTGGCTCCGTCAGTTGCGTGTCTGACTCCTGGTTTCGGTTCAGGTCAGGATCTCAGGGTTGTGATCAGAGTCCCGCATCAGGGGATCCGTGCTCAGTGGGGAGTCAGCTGGAGATTCTCTCCCTCTGCCCCTCCCCCGATTTGTGCACGGGCCCTCTCGCTCGCTTGCTCTCTCTCTCAAATAAATCTTAAAGTAAGACACGAAAAATGTGGGACGCCTGGCTGGCTGAGTCAGTGGAGCAGCAACTCTTGGTCTTGGGGTTGTGAGTTCAAGCCCCGTGTTGGGGGTAAGGATCACTTTAAATAAATAAACAAACTTAAAAAAAGAAAACATGAAAAACACCAAGCCTATGCCCAGGAAATAAAAGCCTGAGGCCACAGGGTCTGTGGGGCCACACAACCAGACATGAGGGGAAGTGCGGGGCGACAGGGAGTACTCACAGGGTCGGTGAGCATGGTTCTCAGGTGGGACGACAGGGCCAGCACTGCTAGGCAGTTAAACAGGACTCCGTTGACCACAGAGTACCAGAAGTCTTTGGAAGGCAGCAGCATGACGAATGTCACCACAAAGTCCGCGTAGACAACCAGGAGCCACGTCATGATGGCACAGATCATGCCGCAGCCGTCGCGGATGAACCAGACCCTGTCTGCCACGTCGGCCTCTGAGGACGAGGAGGACGAAGAGTCGTAACTGTCATTTTCGGTCAGGAGAGGGTGATGCTCGACATCCCGGAGCCGGTGTCCTGATGACGGCATGATTTCCCTGCACACCCTAGAGGGGACAGAGAGCCGGTGAGGATCGGGGGACACATGCACGCTTGCTCACGTGCCCCCTGAAACCTGATGGGTTCCCTGCTCTGGGCTGTCTCACGGGGACCGTCTAAATACACGTGACAAAAAAGACGACAACTGAACAAGATCTGAACCTTAAAATCTTCCACCTTCGTGACTAGCTGACAGCCTGTGACACTATCGGCCCCACCGTGTGGGTGATGCCAAGACGCGCGCACACTGTCCCCTGCAGCCAGCCATGGGGGAGCCACGACGACAGGAGGACAGGCCAGATGCAGACTCCCGGCCCAAGGGGAGACAGAGTGAGTGGCACCGCGGCCGCCCTCCTCGCCACCGAGCCCGCGTTGGCCCATGGGTGCGGAGACCCGGCCCCCGAGCCACCTTCTGCGGTCAGCTCTGAGCTCCTGCCCGCCCTCCCCCACCGTGCCCAGGCCGCGGCTGACGGTGCACTCGCCCTCAGCTCGGCACCCTCTGGAAGGCCTTCCTTTCTGCTTTCGCCTCTTACAAGCTTTCTTCACTTGCTAATCCATTCCTTCAACTCTCCTTCCGGCACCGTTCCGTTTCCTGCAGTGCCGGAACCAGGCGCATAGCGGGGGTGCGGGAGCTCCCGAGCCTTTCCCGGACTGGCTGACAGCTGCCTTCATGCACGCCCTTCTGTCACCAGCGTGTGACCGAGCAGCAGCAGGACGCTTGTGGCAAACATCAGGGGTCCGTTCACCGGGCCTGGAGGCGCTCGCACTAGGGAGAGAAGCACTGGCGGCCGGAGTACTTCCTCGGCCAGAGCCCGACGTGGAGCAGGGGCTGGAGCGGCCGCGGATGCCCTCAGGCCGCCACACACCCTCCACGCACCATCCTTCCAGCCCGGGCCGGCCTCCTTTCCTCCTGCAACCATGGCACTGCCGTGACAGGCACCGTAGTGACAAGGACCGTGGGAAGCTGCGGGAGGTCATGCGGCACGACCTTGGCGGAGCTCCCTCTTGCTGTGCAAACACTCACTTGAAGCGGTTTCCCACTGTCAGTAAATTAACCCTGCTCCTGGGTCTGACGAAAACAGCTTTCAGGTTTTTCGTAGGAGAAACAGAAGAAACTAAAGACACAGTGATCGCGCACGGGTCACGGCCGGCCGACCTCATGGCTGGCACCTGCTGAGCCTGCCGCCGTCCCAGCCCATCCACCACCGCCATGGCACGCACCGGGACCCTCCCTGCCCCCCGGGGCCGGACCTTCCTCCCCACCAAGCAAGCCACCCCAAAGGGCTCTCCTTCCTCTCAAGAGCATGCTGAGTGGGGGGTTCTGCACTGCAGATGGGATGACCTGAAGAGGACAGCCGACCCTGGCTCTGCCCACACCCGCCCATCAGGGGCTGAGATGGGGGCGGAAGCTGTCCCCTTCCCTGGGACTCCCAGGCCCCGCGTGTCGCGCACAGAGCCCTCGTGTGCCCCCTCCCGACGGACTCACACGGAGGCTCTGGTCTTCTCTCCCCATATTCCCTTCCACTGTGCGCACGCGGTGCGGCCCCCAGCAAGTGCCTGTTTGTTGTTAGGCAGAAGCACCAGCAAGAACCTGGTCTCCTGCTCAGATTCCAGAAGTCTCCCAGTGACTTCCGTAAGAGGGTCCGAGTGAGTCCTAACTACACACCACCAAGCACTGAAGCAGAGAAACTCCTCCAACCAGAAATCATTTTGCTTTATGGCTCCTCCTCCAGCGGGACAGCGCCTGTGACAAGTGGGCGCCCACCTGCTGCGCAGTAAGATGGGAAGCGACAGGCTCGCTTCCTGTCCCGGCGTGTCTGTACAGTCTGAGTTCCATCCAGAAAGCCCGAGCCCCCACGTCCTCTGGCGGCACGTACAGTGGAGGCGGAACCTTCCCGGTGGAGACGCTGGTGAGAAGCCCCCCCCCCCACCCCCACCTCCCGAGAGCAGGGTACAGCTCTGTCATGGCATGTCCCCGCCACGTGGCAGGTCTGTTCCTACAGGAAGAGAAGCTGCAAACATGCCAGCACTGGGCGTGGTGGGAGCTTCCCAGACACGTGCTCCCAGCACGCATTAAGTCTGCGTGCAGATGTTACAAAGCGGCATCTGTACAGCCCACCAGAAGGCAACGGGAAAATCCCGACACTCGAAAGCAGTCAATGAACACAGCAGGGTACGGTGCATAGAGTCCGTTCTCCATAGCCCACGGCACGGGCATTCTGCTGCGTCACCGCGCTTCTCCTTCGGGGATGCCGGAGGAAGGGCAGGGAGGAAAGGAGGCAGTAGCCCCTTCACATGGAACCATCTGCGTCTTCTGGAAACAGGACAGCAGCGGCTCGGCCGTGTGCGATGTGACACTAAGTGAGCCCATCGTTGGGGTCGGGGCACGTCTCCTTCCACACTCAGTGCCACACTGCCCTCGATCTCCTGAAGACCGTTTCAGAGAGACACCAGAAAGCACCATGGGCCATCAGAGGGCACGTCAGCATTTTGTGACTTTAGTGGCCGATTTAACGGGATTCTGTCCACACTCCCAAACCTAAGCTTAGTTGATGCTCGTGTCAGAGAAAGCCCCGTTTCCCAGAACACGGCAAGCGCCACTGTCTCTTGAGAGACAGAGCCAGAAAGAGGGGAAAAGGAATTCCGAAGAGGTAAAATGTAGAGAGAAACCTTAAAAATTAAAACACTTTATCTTTGAAACAAAAAGATTGCCACAGCTTGACGGGACGACCACACGAGCAACACGTTCCACTAATGTCACTCGGCACGTGCCTCGCCCTGTAACACCTGCTGGTAACTTACACAGTCACTTCCCGGAATCCCCCCGCGCAGTGGCGAGCAGACCGTAGCCGGCGGCCGGCGGGTAGACAGACCGGCCTTCTGTACGGCCCGTGCTACCCTCCCAACGAAGGCAGTCGGTGTCCGTGGCGGAATGGACACCGGGACGAGACACCCGCACAGTCACTCGCTTACCTCACAGATGATCTCGAAACATTACTTGAACATCTTGCGCCTTTTCTTCAGGATCTTAAGGTGCATAGTGTCACATGTGACAGGATCTGGAAGACAACAAACTCTCATTAAAAAAGTGACTGATTGAATGACCAAAGTGTGTGATGCTTCGTAGGACAGGATTAATTTGGAGAGCTGTAGAACCAGTATAACATTTTACACGTAAAGTAACCACGAAACCATTACTCCTCTGTGTTTTCATTACTAGTAAACTACAAAATGATGGGACAGTCCTGAAAACAAAGTCATGTACTTTACATCTGCCCGTTTCCCCCTCCTGGTACCTGGGCCCCAGCATCAAATACAAGTCTAGAAGCCAAAATCTCCTGAGAAAGATCCCCAGGGATCCTCCAAACCAAACCAGATCAGCCTGTATTTCAAAAGTCAACAAGTGTTTTAGCAGCCACAGCAAAAGACTTCCAGAGAAAATGGGAGAGAGTGAGACCAAGAGGTGAGACCCACTGCAGGAGGGAGCGAGGCACAGGAAGGCAGGCGGGGCACCGAACGTGTCCATCTACTGAAGGAAGAAAGTCCCAGCTGGTATCTCCCTCCTGGCTCCCAGATCACTGGCAGGCCAGTGACCTGATGTGGCATCTCCAGAAGCATGCCTATGGCCTGAGAGGAAAGGCCTAAAGATACCAAGATGGGGGTGGGGGAGAGCCCCCAACCAAACTAGTCTTTATTTCCAGCACAAACCTTTTCATGAGTTTTTTTAAGCTGTCCATTTATTTCCAGTCTTAATGTCATATAACTGACGAGCATCCCTGTGTATGTTCTAGGTGGACAGCAGAATGCTTCGACTGACCTACAGGTCAGAGGTTTTGAAGAGAGCCGAATTAGGTCCCATGAGAGACAGAGCCCAGAAAGGGGGGAAAAGGAATTCCGAAGAGGTAAAATGTAGAGAGAAACCTTAAAAATTAAAACACTGTATCTGTGAAACAAAAAGGAACATTCTGACTTCCTAGTTACTGAAAAATAAAAATGAGAGAATTAAATTTAAAAACAAAGAAACAAACAAAAAACAGGACTGGATGAGAGAGGAGGAACTCTCCCAAAAGGAGAATTAAGTGACGAAGACAGAGACCTTAGGCGACAGCATAAATTCCAACTAGCTGGCCTGGCGCCCCAGCAGCAGGAGGCCTTCCTGGCTGCCCGCTCCGTGCTCACCCCGTTTCCTTCCAAGGGATGATTTTCCTACTTAAGCCAACGCTCCATCGGAGTCTATCTTTTGAAACCAAGACCCCTAAGACAGCAGGAAGCTGGCCTGGAAGAGGGGCCGGGGGTCAGCAGGTGGCAGGGAACCCCCTAGTCTCGGCCACTAGCCAGACTCCCCAGGGCAGAGCGGAGGCCGCTCTCTGTCCGCCCTTCTGCCCGGCCGCCACTGCAGGGCTCCTCGGGAGCTGCTTCTCCCCCAGTGCTTACCGACAGCCCCCTGCCCGCCTGCCCGCCCTTCCACCGCCACCCACCGCCCAGCGTTCCCGAGCGCCTGCCGGCTCAGACCCCTTCCAGCTCGGAGCCCCTTCTGGATGTCTGAGGAACGCGTGTGGCCGTGACCCCACACTGCTGACACTAACGCAGGCGACTTTTCAAATACGGTATTTACGCAGAGTAACTACGTTCACGGGCTATGTATACAACAGCCAACGACTTTAAATACGAATGGTATTCTGAACTGCTTGCACATAAGCTTATGCTGACAATGTTTTAAAATAAAACTGGCTTTGCGAGACAAGACTACTCGTCCCGGACATCAGGTTTCCAGAAGAATCTCTACAATGAGACCAAATCCTCAATTACTTCTATGCATTTTAAAAAGTAACCAACACAGCAAGCCCTTCGAAAAGCGGCCTGGCACCTTCTCCAAGTTCAACACCCACCCTGCGCGTCAACAGCTCCACTTGGAGGTACTCACCCAGGAGAAGTGAATAGGAACACAAAATGCGCACACAACGGCCCGCAGCTGCATCCATAATACTCCCCAGACCACAGACAACCCAAACATCCACCACCAAGAGAGGCACCGAGAAACTATGGCGTAGTCGTACCAGGGCACACTGCTCAGTGGCACAGAGGAAGGAAATTACTGAGATCTGCGACCACACGGATGAATCTCAAAGATGTCACGTCACCCGCACGGCCCCTGAAACCAGGCAGCAGTCATTTATTCTGAAGGAAATCAGAACAGGGGTTTGAACACAGGGGGATGACTGAGAAGAGCCCAGGGTAACTTTCTGGGGTGATGGAAATGCCCTATATCCTGACCTCACTGGTGCCACCGGCATGTGCGTCTCTCAAAACAAAAGTCAGCTATTAAAAAAAAACCAAAAACCAGCAGTACACTTACAAGTGTACATTTCATTGTATGATTAAAAAAAAATGCACAGGAGAAAAATCAGCAGCGCGGGTATGGGACCTGGGTGGGAAAGGTGAAGCGGAGGCCAACCTCCAACCAGAAGCTTCCTCCAGAAACTTCACGCAGGGCCCAGGAGGTCTCTCACCGACTCTGTCTGAATCTTCAGGCGGGGCTCTTAGCCTCTTTCCTCATCTTTTCCTTGGCTGTGAACAGACAACGTATTCTCAAATACACACTGAAAACAAACAAGACAACGTCAGTATTCTTTGGTGGCCAGTAACTACAAAGAAAATCAAGATGGGCACCTGGCTGGCTCAGTCGGTAGAGCGTGCAACTCGTGGTCTTGGGGATGTGAGTTCAAGCCCCAGGCTAGGTGTAGAGATGACTTAAAAATAAAACATTATAAATAAATAAAATCTTAAAAAAAAATAAAATCTTAAAAAAGAATCAAGATACTTTCACTATTGCAATACAAAGAATGTCTACCCTAGAGTCCGATATTCATGTTTATGTTAAGGTGCTATTTAAACTCATTACGGCTTTACTATCCATACACCCACTGACGACCTATAAAAAGCAGGAATCAGCAGCTCTGCTTCAGGCACAGCAGCAGCACATGAGGCCAGCGCGAGCCATGAGAGAGCCGCTTAATTCATACACGGAGAGGGGGAGTGCCAAGCACGGTGTTCTCCGTCCCAGGGCCCCAGGATGCACAGCCCCCGATGGGAGCTGTAGCCCGCAGGAGCTCACAGACCAGCAGAGGTGGGAATCAGGCCGGTAAACAATGTGCTAAGTGTTATCCCCAAATCAGGAGCAAAGTGTGATGAGGGAGAGAGATGACAGCAGCTAATTCTATCCGGAGGAGCCAGAGAAAGTGTGAAAAGCCACCAGCATGGTGGGCCCTGACAACAGAGGTATAGACAGGAGGTGAGAACAGTGTGAGGGCCCAGGTGGAGCAGGAACACAGCGAGCCCGAGGGCCGCAGGCTCAAGGTGAAGGAGGCAGGGAAGGACAGAGGGGAAGGGCAGACTGGGGCCCCTCACAGAGTACTCAGAATGCCCAGCTGAGCAGTCTGAAGTCTGGACTTGTTCTAGTACGGGAGGCACCAGATCTTTGGCAAACGCACAGGTGTTTTAAAAAATAATTGGTAACACCAAGGACGGAAGGAGGAAGCTGGACAACCCGGAGGCTGGCACCACCTAGAACAGAGAAGGCACCCGCAGGGGGCCAAGAGGGGAGCAGGGCCTGCAGGGGACTGAGAGCTGTTACGGGAAGCAAAAGCCCAGCGGGCACCAACGGCGAGGTGTGGCTGGGGCGCAGCACAGGGAAGTGAAAGGGCTTCGGAGGCGTTTCTGCCCCGCCTGTGTCTCCTGGAACACTGGAACCGCAGATCAGGAAGAGCCCCACCGAGACTGGGGCTCACAGAATTTAAGGAGCTTCTGGAAAACTAGCAGATTATCACCTGCCCTCCTGCTACTCCATCCTAGAGAGACCAAGTGGGAACGGACGCGACCACCCAAGGGGCCCCAGCAGTGTGGGGCTGGAGCTCTGACAAGGGTCCAATGAGCCAGCAAGGGAGTCGGGGGGCCTAAGAGCACAAAGGCCGGAGCAGTCCGTGCCCTCAAAGCAGGCGCTGGGAGAGGCTCAGCAGGGACCTCTCCCCACCAGGTTCCGTCATGTGCCGTGAGCACGGGAGACTGGGTGGTGAGGAAATTAAAGAAACACCTTTTTAAAGATGCAGTTAAGTCCCGGACATATACAGCTAGAAGGGAAAGGCGAGGGAATCCTTCTTGAGCTTTCGCTCTCGTGTATTATCTCATGTCCTGCTAGGACCGTGATCGTGACTCTGGAATAATACGGGGGCTGTGTCTTCATCCCTGCCCCAAACAGTCAAAAATCCACTTACAACTTCTGACTCCCCCAAATTTAACTCGTAATAGCCTACTGTTGACCTGAAGTCTTACAGTAACAAACACCACAATTTTTGTATGTATTCTTTTTTTTTTAAGTTTATTTATTTATTTGACAGAGAGATCACAAGTAGGCAGAGAGGCAGGCAAGGGGGGTGGGGAAGCAGGCTCCCCGCTGAGCAGAGAGCCCGATGTGGGGCTGGATCCCAGGACCCTAAGACCATGACCTGACCCGAAGGCAGAAGCTCAACCCACTGAGCCACCCAGGCGCTCCCATTTTTGTATGTATTCTTATGACAAAGTAAGCAAGAGACACCAAAGTGTTAAGAAAATCCTAAGGGGCGCCTGAGTGGCTCAGCTGGTTACATGTCTGCTTTCAGCTCAGGTCATGATCGCCGGGTCCTGGGATCGAACCCCGCACTGGGCTCCCTGCTCAAAGGGAAGCCTGCTTCTCTCTCTCCCCTTGCCGTTCCCTCTGCTTGTTCCCTCTCTCTCTGTCAAATAAATAAAATCTTAAAAACAAACAGACAAAAAAAGAAAATCCTAAGAGAAAATACATTTACAGTACTATATTGTATTTATCGAAAAAAAAAAAAGTTCACATGTAAGTAACTGCGCAGTGACACCCATGTTGTTAAAGGGTCACCCGGGCTTCATCTCCACATTCGCACACGGGCCGCCTTGGACCCGAGGGGTTAAGTCCCCACAACCCCCGACCCCCGTGAGTCCCTGGGGCTCCATACACATCCCCCCACAGGGCATCCTGCCTTGACCATGGCTAGCT